ATGAGCATTTAAATGCAACAAATATCATTTCAGGTGACTTAACATGAATGAATAAAAGTCAATGCTATTGGATTGTTTGTTTGACAAGTGCTATCTGTGCCACTAATCTTCTGTAGTAACAAGGGCATTACCATTCTTCACCCTTCCTATTTCTGACCCTGTAGTTTTACTTTTTTTCTAGTTTTGATCTATCCATTGTTAAGGTTGTCTTGTATTTGATTTCTAGCACATGTGATGTCTCCACATTTTTGCACTGCTTACATTTATGTGCAATCTTAACTCCTTGTCTCCACACCGATGTGGAAAGCTAGAAATAAATGTTAAAGCTTAATTTTTATAAACATTTGAATATGTACTTTGGACATGATTTACATAAAGTTCTTCTCTAAACTGGAAGTGAAATGCATGCCTTCTGAAGATGTTCTGGCTTTAATTCTGTAATAGTATTTTCATTGGGAAATACCAGTTCATCTATCCAATTTTTCCAATGAGTGAATTTTCCATTTTTTTGCTTTAAAAATTGTGGGTTCTTCAGGGTAGATGTCATGCTGATCAAAACTTTTGGGTTCAAATCATGAAAAATTAAGTGTTCCACAAGGTAAGAAATACTGTTCTTTGACTCTGTTTTCAAAAACAATTATTTCTGAGACTCTTGTACTCAAATAACAGCTTTAAGTAGGCCTATTTCTTGAAAGCCAAATATGAGGAAAACACTTTTATAAAACAATGGATCCCTAACTGGCTTTCGAATTGCTTTTTTTAAAAGCCTTAGGTATTTACAGAGATGACTTCCTTAAAGTTAAACCATTGATTGTCATCATTAATGGGAATGTCCAGTTCTTTATCTTTGACTCGATGCTTTATACAACATTTCATATGTCGCTTCTAAGGGAATAAGCCATAGAGGCTTCTCCAGGTTTAAGAACAGGAAAGTACCTGGAAAACCAACATTTCTGAATGTATGGACACTGGACTTAGGATCATCGACAATGAGATTTTCCAAACAAATCCAAGAATTTGCTCTCCTTCCCCAGCCCACCTAGTAGTAGTGTAATAGTTTGATGCATTACTAGAGCCAGGTATAGGACAGCAATGAATATTAGCAGGTTAAGTATCAGTTTAGACTTAATTACTATGTCCTATACCTTTTAATGCATAAAATTAAATTTTTGTCTTTGGAGTCCAGTTGGCCTGTTAATGATAAATTTGCATTTTGACTCTTCCTGGGCAGGTTTGCAATGTGATAATCAGATTTTTTTTTTAACTAGTTTATCTTGTGTGGGTGTACTCACATTTAAAAGTATGAACCACAGTTAACTAGTGGTCTCAGGGGTAGTGAAACACTCACTTTTTAATTGCTTAGTTGAAGTATACTTATGACACTGATCATGCTGTATTAATTTGGGGGGAGTGACTCAAAGTAGCCATGTTTTGTGTTGACATAAAACTGTTAAATGATTGTTGGTTACACTTTTAAGTGAATCTGTCTTCTATTTTATGAGGAACCCAGTGCAAGTCACTAAATGTTGTCTAATAGTGACATCTGCATAAGACTTGTAATAGCTAAAGTTAATTGAGCTTAAAGGAATTGTTACCATTAAAGTCTGTGTTTAAACACACTTTGGTCTTACTCAGTAATTCCACCTAACACGAAGTCCACACTTGAATTTAATACTGTGTGAGCTTGATGTTGCATATAGTAAAGCAGCAGTTGTGAAGAAACTTCCTTAGGAAGGATTAGTGTTTTCAAAATGTGGTTTCCAGTGTCATTTGGAAAAGGCTTTAAAATACAAGCCAACACATTCTGCGTGAAATTATAAGGTGGATCCCAGTAACTTGAGAGCAGTGCACAGCCCAGTGACTGGTCTAAGCAGTTCCTTGTGACAGACTACAGCTAGGAATTCTTTGAAACTATCATTTTGCAACTCTGGTTATGAGGGACATGTATTGTTCCTAATTTTCTGTCGCCAGTTTTTCTCCCAGGGAAATTACGATGTATGAAGAATGCAGTATTTGAATGAGTTAACTTTAGCATAAGGTAGATAGCATAAATAAAAGCTTTCCCAGTATGATGGGAAAATGGACATTTGGAAACGGTTTTAAGACATGGCAGCCAACAAGAAAACAGGTACAGCAACTTTGATTCTCACAGATCATTGGCAGCCTCTGCTTCATTCCTCATCAAATTGGATAGTGTCGTGTAAAAGTGGAGTGCTTTCATGTCCTTGGTGCATAGGAAGAGCCATCATTGCTGACCTGTCATTTAGGCACTCTTACTCCTTGGTCATCTTTATAATGTCACAACTGGCCAGCTCGTCCTGGCTTCAGTAAATAGGCATTCAGATGCACTGACCTAAAGCTGGCATCTTGACTTCTCCCAATCAAAATCAGTTCCCTGAGGAGCTGCCATATAGTACTCTGGTACCATTATCTAAAACTCCATTTATTTGGATTATTGCAGTCTCCCTGCTTCCTAACTTGTAGCAATTTTCCATGCACAATTTTGACCTAAAGTACTGTGGTGGTGGTGTGGCTTTCCTCCAGTCCTGGTTTTCTATCCAAATAAAAGCCAAATATTAAGAGGAATATGTAACATCGGGTAACTACCAAATATTTCAAACCTCTATCACCTTGTTTGCACCAACCCAACCTGTGTTCAGTCACACAGGCTCCTGCAGAGACTTGGTCACATTGGGCATTCTCCATGTATAGGTGGTACTACGATTTTACCCCAGAAACTAGCTTCCTCTCCCCACTGCTGTAGTATGTTCTCAAATGTCACCTAGTCAGGAGTGGCTTTTCTTGGATGTTTTATACATTGTTTCCCAAAGTGCTGGGATGTACACTACATGTAATTCAGTGTCCATGAGGACAGATTTTTGTCTTACTCGTGATGAACCACTAGACAAGTGCTTGAAACTTTGTCAGTAGTTAGATTTTTATACACAAATAACTGTAATACAATATAAAGTTAATTGAGGGGGCTGGAGGGTTTGGTTGCCAGCACCCACATTGTTAGTACCTCTAGTTTTAGAGGACCAGACACTCTTATGGCCTCTGCTGCCATTTTATGATACAGGTGCACTTGCATACATGCAGGCAAGACATGCACATAAAAATTTTTTTATAAAGGAAAAGCAAATTGAACCTTTTTGTCTAGAACAAGGCTTATTTTTCACCCCCAAGTTATTTGGTATACAAATAACTATTGAAGTTGAAAGCAAGTCTGCCTATTAGGTGGATGTGTTAAGTGTCTGTTGATGAGAATACCACCTCCTATAAATATGTAGTACAAGATGGCAGAAATATGTTTAGGGACATACCAGAAACTTGGAAATTCTACCTTAATCCCGAGCCAAATTTCATGTGCCATTTTTATTTTTTAGAAAATCAATTTTAAAACATTTCAACAAAGTCTAAACAATTTGATAATGCTGGAGTGATGGGAGGAAAGTGTTAAGGCTTTGTTTTTTGTACATGTGTGTTTGAGACGTGCACTTGCCTAGGTAAACTGGAGTTTTGCTTGGTTGATCTCAAAATTACGATTCTGCTGCGTAAGCCGTGAAATTATAGGCCTGTACCACCATGCACAGCTGTAACCATTATGTAGAGCAGAAACTTGTATGTATGGTTCTTTAATTCATAATGCCAAGCATTTGCTGGTTATGTAGCCTACCAACACGTACAGTGCCACATGCTACACAACGAATGTAAGTGCAGTGACCGCACTAGGCTCTGGACTACAGCAAACAAAGTACTCGTTAGATGGATGATGTCACTGGACAATTATGTAAAGTATTGAGGGAGAGAAAGGGGGAATGGGCTGTGAGAGGAATCCAAAAGAGGTCAGTTGAGGTGCATACTTGTAGTTCCAGCAATTGAGTTGGGGAGGCATTACAAGTAACAGCGAGACCCCCCCCCCCAAAAAAAAAAAAACATTTTCAGGCAGAACCGAATTGCAACTAGAAAACCCCGGGGTGGTGGTGCATGCCTTTAGTCCCAGCACTCTGGAGGCAGAGGCAGGCAGATGTCTGTGAGATCAAGGCCAGCCTGGTTTACATAGTTTCAGGCCAGGGGCTACAGGGAGACCCTGTCTCAAAGCACAGTCCTGGGACAACTACATAAATACTTAACAATGAGCATGAACCCCTGCCTTACATCGTATATAAGAACTGAGTTGGAATTTCAAGTCAAGCCAGGTGTGGTGGTACCCACCTGTAATTACAGCAAGTTCAGTGTTAGCCTGGGTTACAGAATGAGGCCCTGTTTATTAAATAAAAATGTAGGGGGCCTGGAAAGATGGTTCAGTGGTGAAGAACACTGAATGTTCTTGCAGATCCCTGCATCCACATGGCAGCTAACAGCTGTCCATAACTCCACTTGTAGGGGATCTGATGCCCTCTTCTGACCTCTGCAGGCACTGTACAGTGCCGGTGCCCTTCCATACATGCAGGCAATACACACATACACATAATTTTTTAAAATGTAGGTCAGAGGACATTGTAGTGAAAAAATACACATTGTGAGGAAAAGTTTGAAATTATGTATCTGTTAAGGACCTAAGATCCAAAAATAGGAAGAATTTGTAAAAATAAATAAAATCAAGCAACAGGCAAGAAAATTGAAAACGCTTCTCCAACGAAATTATACAAATAGGCAGCAAACACATGACAAGGCAGGACTTCATTAATAGAGAAGTGCAAATCAAAACCACAGTGAGGTAAGGTGCCACTTCATACTCATTAAGATGATTTTTTATATTTTTTATTTGTTTTTTTTTTTGTAGCCCCAGCTGACCTGGAACTCACTAATGTAGACCAAGTTGGCCTCGAAATAACAGAGATCCGCTTGCCTCTGCCTCCTGAGTGCTGGGACTAAAGGTGCGTGCCACCATGCCCGACTAAGATGATTAATTTTTAAAATGGGGAGTGAATGTTGCTGCAGATTTGGAAATGAACTTTTAAACTTTCCTAATTGGGTTGGGCATGGGCAGCACTCAGGAGGCAGAGGCAGGCAGATACCTGAATTTGAGGCCTGTGTGGTCTACATAGTTCGGGGCCAGTCAAGACTATAAAGTAAGACCCAGTCTCAACCCCCCCCCCTCCCCCCCGCCTGCTTACACAAAAATTCTCTTAGGAGCATAAGATGATGCAGCATCTGTTTGACAGTTCCTGGAAAGTTAGACCTAAGCCCAGGATGTGGTTCCGTAGTACAGCACTTGCCTAGCAGCACTTGCACTCAGCAAGCTGAGTTCACTCTCTAGCACTGGGGGGAAAAATTACCACAAGATTAAACAATTCCATTCCTAAATATGTACTTAAAAGAAGTGAAAACAGGCATTTAAATAAGTAGTTGGGGGTGAATGCTCATGAAAGCATAATTACTGAAGGATGGAAACTGAACAAATTTGGGGGCATTATACTTCCATACAATGGCATCATATTCAACTATAAGAAAATATGCTAGAATGTGGTTGGATCTTGAAATCATTATGCTGAGAACAAAATCAAACATAAAAGTTAATATATGATTCTATTTACATGAGCAGCCAGAATAGTTACATCGATAGAAACAGAAAGCACCTTCATGTGTGCCCAATGGTTAGTTTTATATGAATCTCCCCTTTTAAAATGTATCAGCTGGCCAGGTATGGTGGTGCATGCTTTTAGTGAGCACTCGGGAGGTGAAGCAGGTGAATATGAGTTCAAAGCCTGACTGGTTTATATAGCCAGTTCTAGACTAGCTAGGGCTACATAGTGAGACCCTCTGGGGGGGGGAAAAAAAGTATCAGCCACAAAGGATAGTAATATAATACTGGAGTATTTTAGATTTCAGGTTCTGTTACAAATTCTTTACATAAATCAACTTTAAATTCTCGTGACTTGTATATTTATTATTTATATGATTGTAGCACTGTCCCTACTTTACAGATGAAACCGAGAGGAAGAGACACATCTAATGGCAGATTCTGATTTTAATAAAGATAATCACTTTCTAGATTTCTACCACTTAGCCATTATGACACATATCAGAGAAGCTCAATGCTTGTCATGTAATCATGAAGATCTGAGTTCGGTTCCCAGAACACACAATAAAAAGCCTGGCAGTATGGACTTGTAATCTCAGTGCTGGGGAGATGGAGACTAGCTGGTCCCTGGGGCTTGCTGGCCCTCTTGCCTTATCGATTGCCAGGTCCCAGTGAGGGGACCCTGTCTCAAAACATGGGTAGATGATGCCTGAGGAAGAATGACACCTGAGGCTGTCCTGTGACCTAAACGCAACACACATAGGTGCACTGTCACATCTGCATCCACCTACAGACACATGAACCTACACACACACACACACACACACACACAGAAATATATGAGCAAGGAGCAATATACTAGTAAAATGACCAGTCAAATTTGAAGGAAAATGAACTGCAAGCAGTACTTACAGAATTTTTTTTTCAAAGTAAACTCACAAGAAAGCCTTAAAGGCCTAGTAGACATGGTTGACTAAACAATTAGGGAAGTCAAAGATGCAAAGAAATCATTCTGAGTGTGATACAAAGGGTGAAGACACGGAAGACTAAAGCATGAATGGAGAAACAGCAGGTGTAACATTTCTAATCAGG